CATTATTTTCCAGTAGTGATTATCAGAAAACTTAGGATGGAAAGTGTATCAAGAGTAACTTGAGTCCTGCTTATTGGAACATGACCACCAACTGCTCCAGAGCATCCCCTAGGCCCTGCAGTGCCTCTGGCTGCAAACACGGAGAATCCTTCACGTGGCCGCTTTTCAGCACTAGATAGGCAATCCAGGCATGGGACAGCACAAAACAAATCCCACCCCTTTCAGGTAAGCTGGCAAGGTCACAAATTCTTACTATTACAACTCTCTTCTAGACACGTGAAGACTGAAATGAAGATGGTTTAAACAATGGCAGAGCATTATGGGAGTCAAACGCCATTAGTAGAAAAATTCAAGTTCAAGGCATGGCCAATTTGAGCAAGTTCTTTCGTTACTAAACTACTGAATTAACCCATCAAGATACAATTTCTGCTAGAAACCCGATGTCTTTCAAAAAGCACACCTACAGCAGCATTTGAGACTCTGCGGGTTCTGAAGACCTCAAATGAAAACATCATTAATCATACTGGCGGTGATTTAACGGAAATGACAAGTCACTGAAGACTTACAGAGTTTGTGAGATCAGCTTTTTTTTCAGATAAGGCCATTTGGAGATGCTTCAAAACTGCCTACTTAGAAATTCAAACTCTCAATCACCAGTTACTAGTGAAAATCCCAGCCTTGGAGGACAAACTGCTCCTGCCCCATTTCTGAAATTCTGTAAGGTGGTAGCAAGACAAGGTGAATTCTTGAGAGTAAATTCAGCATCAGAAATGACACCAAGAAAAATATTTGAAAGATTCTCTAAGAAAAAAGTCTCTAATGAAAATTACAGATCATGTTATGAAAACTGGAAAGAAAATAGTTGTGTTTTTTTAAAGGCCTATGACTATTCCACCTACAGCAGGAAACCAGTGTTACATTGGACATATCTGTATGGCAATCTCTCTGTTTCCCAGTAATGTCACAGGCAGAGGAAAGCAAAATCACTAGTTACTTTAAAATTCTGTTCTTTATGGGAAACGCACCAGGCAACCTGTGGCCTGCCCAGCACAGAAGTGCCCCAAACTAGAGTGAAATGCTCAAGAACTGCATTGAGAACTACAAGTGCAAAATGATTAGGTTCTTAAACCGATGAAGCAATTCTGCTTAGAGCGATCTGCTCTACTACTTCCCTCTCCTCTTCCACCCTTCAAACACAGAAACTCAGGAATGCAATCGGGCCAAAGTGAACCCCTCGGGATGGAGCGGGTAGCTATTGCTGTAGTTCTGGCCCATTACCACCGCAGCATAGTGTTTCAAGGATTCTCGGCTCCTCACTTACACTAAATGGCACGATAACCTGGTACTTTTAGTGCCCGAGGCAAGACAACAGCAGGTCTCATCATGGAATTCACAAAAGGATGGTAGAGAGCATGGGAAGAGTCAGGCCAGGAGACAGACAGCAGCATGCTACCGCCTGTGAATGAGGAACGATGAACTAGTGACGCATCCTGCGGACTACTCATAGTCTGAGCCCTAGACAATGCCGGAACAAGTCTCATCACTACAGCAAGCAAGTTTTGGTTTTTTTTCCAACAGTTTAAAGCAAAATTCCCTCAATCATAAGAAACTGTCACATTTAAAAAGCATGCGTTACTGCTTTCGCTTCATATCTTTGCACAAAAACTCTCTTGCTACCTATTATGACCTCTAGGCGCTATATCAACAACAACAGAAAAGACCTTGACTTGAATATAAAAAGGAAGAAACAAAATACAACTGGAAGTGTCTTTAAGACGACCTAAACTACCCACGTTTCCAAGTTACCCATGGATTGAAAACTACATCCATGTGTAAGACGACTTACTCTTGTGCACTCAAACTCTGTAACTGCTAACAGGATGTCTTCACAGAGCACGGTACCAGAAGAGTTCAGATATTTACTTTTTCCTTTATCACGTTCACTAAACAACAGGCAACCTGCCCAGCATCCTTAGCTCACAGCACATTCAGTACACACCGCGTGGTTTCCACACGCTACAAACATCTCATTTTCACCGCTCCAATAAAGCACGAGTGGGTGGCTTGTAAAACACAGCTTGAATTGCGTCTCACAAGCCTAGAGGCCCCTTTCGAATGCGTACAGAAGTATATAAAAAATAATTTTAGTTCCTAACTACACCATGGTACTTCCCAAAACAAGGACAAAGTTTTCCACTTCAAGCAGAAAAACAAACTACAGGAAATAGGGTGGAAGAGCAGCAGATTCCACTCATAGGAGGAGCAACGTGACATGGCTCAGGCATTCACTTTTAGGTGAACATTTCTGGGGGAATGATTTCACACCACAATTCTTTTTCCAAGAATGACAAACACAGAGTCCCCTGCTTTCATTTCAGTCTCTACAAAATCTTCAAAAATCTGGAAGACAACATTAAGAGGGAAATTCCCAGATCAATTCCGCTGATAAAAACTGCTCTGAATAAGAAACCTTTGAGCTCAAACTAGGCACATGCTCAAGTTCCACCAGTCCTCACACATAAACTTACATTGCTTTGTTTGTTTGATTTTGGTGCGTGTTTGTTTTTAAGAAGTAGGAGGTTTTTTCCTTCCCTTTAATTGCTACATAGGGCTAGCTAGCCAGGCCATACCCAAACGCTTCACCCAGTGCTTCTGCAGCAGATTCACCCACATGCGGACCACGACCTGGGATGAACGGCCCATCACTGCGCAGTAGCAGGTACTTCGGCTTTTTGAGAGAGACTTAAACCTTCGTATTTTGAGCTTTTCCGTGTCATTTCTTTGATTGTTAAGAATTACTTTTCCAGCTAACATTATGTAACTGAAAGCAACATACGTGTTTTTCCTAGTATATTAGCACTTTATTGTAATGCTTAAAACAGTCAGATACACATATCTGGTATATAAATTTAAGCCACTTAGAAGTTTGCTGTCAGTGTATACAAAACGCAACTGTACTACAGCCTTTGTTTGCTTGAATTAGTCACCTATTCCAAGATACTCAGAAAAGACTTCACTTTGGTCTAGAAGCAGCAAGTCCTCTCACGTCCTTTCTGCAAATTTCTATGAAGCAAAACAATCCAATTTGTACAATAACAAATAGAAGATACTCAGTGACCTTCAGTAGCAAAGAAAAATATTTTTGAGGCTTCGAAAACGCTCTGCAGATATCAGGATAGTACTCCCCAAGGGTGTGTGGCAAGGGGACCAGGTTAAGGAATTGGGACACAGTCTGCATGAAAAGCTGGATAATGTAACCAGAACATAAGCGCAAGATGTGCCTAGTCATGTTAGCAGCTGAGACTCATAGGCTAGTTCCTCAAACAGGCTTTTCAAAGAAATAACTTCCCAGAACATTCAACTCAGTTATACACACCATTTTTAACAACATTTGCATCATATTTGGATGCAATCACAGCTCGTCGCTACCTGTAACTTCTAAAAAGAACTGCCAGAATTTTTCTTTGCCAAGTATTCAGCTCAGCAATCCACTTGAAACATCATCCTGACACATAAATACTTGGATTGGTATTCTCCAGCACTCACACGTGCACTTAGAGTTAACAAGATTACTCATGTTAATAAAAACCCTGAATCAGAATTTGACTA